TAAATTAAATATCTGTTCAGTCCACACTGCCTAGGAACCCATAGCACGGGTCTTCAAGGAGCTTTGAATTTTGAAGAGACGAGATGTATTACACAACAAGAGGAGCCCTGCCATCTTGCATCTAATAAGTCCTTCCTTAGTGTTTTCATCATCATCATTTTGTTTGAAATTCAAACACCCTGGGAGGTAGGAAGGAGGGCAACTATTATCACCACCTGATACTTGGGGAAACTAAGGAAAGAGAAAGAGAAAGTGAATTCCTGAAGACAAACTAGAAGTTAGATTCCTGACTCCTCCACCGGGATCCTTGCTCCATCAGGAAATCTCCTAAGGGAATACACCCCTTCATCAGTCATATTTCTGACACGCTCGGCAGCTCGGCTTCCGGACCTACTGGAGCAAAGGTGCCCACAGTAGCCCTTCTTTGGCACCATGCCTTGTATGCCTTTAAAGCTCAGAACAAAACAAACTCCAGCAATAGTGACTCTGTGACATGCTGCCGCACTGCGGTGCCGCCTGAGGACGTTGCGCAAGTTTTGGCAGCTCAGGCAGCTAGACTTTTATCATTTGCTCACATTAATGTACTTGGCAATCACACAGAAGGGCTTTTAAATCTAATGGCTCAGACAATAACAAAGCAGAATTACACAAGCATTTTCAAAATGATGGGGCTGTGACCCTTTTAGGTATGCCACACTGCCTTATCCCAGGGACATGCTGGAGTTGCAGTACATTACAGAGACTTCAAGTCTGTTCCCCTTTGCCCAAGTATCACGCTAGGGGGTTGATAAATGGAGAATGTGTGCAGCATGAGGTCTCTCCAAAGGAGCGTGTGAATCTGTGCCTGTCTGTGTGAGCATGCGGGTGTGCATGCGCAACTGCCTCTGGCCAAAATTGGGGTGAGCTAGGCCACCTGCAACACAGGTATTCAGGTGAGACAGGCCTGAACTTCCGGCTGGGACTCGCACTAGAGGGGGATTTTAGGGGCTTTCCTTGTGCTCTGTTTTATTCTCCAAGGTTCTAAAACCTCTCTCATTCTCCATTCACAGTCATCAAGAAGTTTTTTCCTAGACCAAAAATGTTATTTAGATCTTAGGCAACTAAGTCGGCAAAGTAAATCAAGACCTTCTTTCGGGAAGTGTGAGTGTAGAAAATCGCTTTTGTTTTTTTAATAAAAGTATAGAATGTCTATCGTACAGAGAGTTAATGAAATCCTTCCAGGGTTCTCCATATTTGTGGGGGTATTTTTTTCCTTGAATTACTCGCACACTCCATTTCCAGGTGGTACCATCATCGGTCCTCTTATCAGTGTCAATAATTCCATTTGGCAGGCAGGGGCTAATTCTTTTCATGTGCTAATGATTAATCAGACAAGCCTATTTACTAATGTATCAGAATGCATTAGAAACATAAGGTAATGGCGGACAGAACATCAATTCAGATATAAATGAACCACATTTACATTGGATACCTATTGACTTATGTCACAGAATGAAGTAGAAAATGCAATTTACTTGTAAACCATTAAAATGAATGAAAATAGAATTTCAAACTCCATCTTCAAACATAACTTTATTGACTTGGCTGTGAGCCTTAAGGGAGTGTCTAACTAAGTTTAAAATATATAAATAACACACTAATTCATTGTGCCATAAAAGAGTTAGTGTCTCACCAACTAAACACCATGGAATTTACTTAAGTTGGAACTAGTACAAAATAAAGAGAGGTCACAGAGCACGGTGTGAGGACATATTAGGGTTCTCATATTGGGTTTTTTTAATTTTAGTTCTCCTCTAGTCTGTTTTTGTCCAAAATCTTGCATCCTGTGCATGTTCCAAGGGCATTGGCCTATATCTTACAAACCAAAAATTCAAAATTAAAATCCTTATAAGAGAAAGAAAGAGAGAGAGAGAGAAGGAGAGCGAGAGAGAGAGGTGAGCTGCGGGAAGTTAGGTCAGATAGTTATCGTAGTAACTACACTGTATGCTGAAACACTGGGGAAACCAAGCTTTAGGTCTCTGTGTTGGACTTTCATTGGCCGAAAGGAGTTATCATAACATATTCAGAGAAAGAGTAGAAGCAGTTTTAAGATTACTAGAAAGTGAGTGGATTGGAACCATTTACTACGAAAAATAGCTGCGCCTCTGAGATGATTTTTCACTTTTCATCTAGATGTTGAGCATGAAAGAGACAAGACTTCTTGTCTCCAAGCTCCTCAAGTGTACAGGAACAGAACAAACAGGAGGAAATTGGAGCTGCTCAAAGAAGTAAAATTAAATTCCAAGCTTTGGTTTGTATCTGTGACAGCTCAGATCCAACCAAAGGACCAACAACTGCCTTTGAATTAGAAACTAAGGCAATTTTTGCACTTTTGAAAAACTAGTCTCAGGAGAGCCCAAAGGGGATGTGGGCAAGTATTTTAGGGGAAACCCTAACCCACCTGAGTTTCCCTTTCTATTGGATCTCTCCTCAGACTAAACTGCAAGGTGCTAATGAGATGTGCTGTGTACCCAGAACGGCGTTTTCCAAAGCATAGTCCCCAAAAAGCAGTCAAGAGGGAGAGGTTTGCTGATAAAGACTTTCATGATCAAAAATGTTTAAGAAATTCAACATTAGCTTCTCTCCCAACCTCTTGGAAATTCACAGAGAATCTTATCATATTAAAGGCTCTGAGAAGTCCTGCAGTAATGAAACCTTCTACAGTTTTGTTCCACCAGCCTTTCTCAGGCTTAATTAAACACAGGAATATTTCCTTCCCATACACATGGATTTCAAGTTCCATAGAGCACAGGTTTGGAAATATTAATAATGATAAAAATACTGGGAAAATTAAATAAAATATGCCAAGCCAAGTAAGTTTACTTCTCATCATACATATAAATGAAAAGCATCTCACAATGCTATTCTTTTTCAAGAAAGAGGAGTATCGCTTTAGCATTTAGCTATTCCTTGCAGCCTCAGCAGAAGGAAGCTCTCCACATATCTGAACCCAATGCTCTCTTTTCTGGTGCTCAGATCCTGTCTCCTAGTAAAGAGCAGATACACCTTGCATGGAGGGGCATACGCCAGAATGGGCACAGATCTAGACGCCCCTCCTACAAGAAAAAACAGACTAAAGTGCTCATTAACCCGCTCAGAAGGACCTGGTGCTGGCATTACTGGCGTTACCAAGGGAAGAATTAACAGCAGCTTTGTCTGTGCCCAAAGAAGGACATAAAAGCTCCTCCAGTTTATTCCCAACATCTAATCCATCAAGAAAGTGTCCGAAGGATAAATCGGAGCGAAGCTGACTTTTGTTAATAACGTAACAGTTTTGAAAGCGCAGCTTTAATCAATGGGAAAATTTTCGAGAATTTGACAACCTTTTCCATTCCCTCCAGGATAGACTCCATTTTTTTTTTCAAAACTGTCTAATGCTGTTTCTTAGGTGGTGTTCAATAGAAACCAGTCTATAATGCAATGCATTCTCTTTATGTGATGTTTAGATATGAGATTGATCTCGGTGGACGCCCTGGAGTTCTGAAAGTAGGATTATTGGATTTTGTGGCTTTCTCAGATGTCGAAGATCTTTAAACAGTGTCTTGCAAAGTTGCTACATCCCGCCTGTCTGTGAAACACTTATGAACTCATCAAAGAAGGTAGACTCCATGTTAATTAGACGTAGTGGGCAAAGGGGGGCTGGAAGCCGACTTCCTCCCACTGTCAAGTTAAGTGCTAGGATCACATCTACATTCATACCTCGAAAAGAAAAGTCAGTTCACCCATCTCCACATCAATAGGAAGATCGCTGACACAGGATGGAATTCAGAATTCAGAGTAGCAGGAGGGACAAAAGATGCGGTTGTAAAAGCAGAAGTTTGGCAGCCATGTTGTCTCATGGCTACAGCAAAATGAGAGGTTGGTCTCATGGATTGTGGCTTGCATTTAGGAAAAGCAAGATATTTAGGACATGGTATATTTCCTCTGACTTTGAAAGTGCCACAGATTAGCCATTGTAGAAAAGACACTTTCGTGGCCCGCACCCGCCCTTGCTTTGTCACCACCCTGAACCCCTGGTGTGCGGTGTCAGGATTGTCTGGAAGCAAACGGGATATTACTCCAGAGGAAAAGAATAGAGATTCTTAGAGCAAAAGCACCTGGAAACTGATGCTTCACGAGGGGGGCCGCCATCTGGTCACTGCAATCAAATAGTGCCTCTCCTTTTCAGATTTGTGGCCAATGGATAATGCGTCAACTGATTCATAAATTCTCTCATGAATAAGAATCAACAGATTTTCTCATTTCAAGTTTTCCTTCCTATAGTTTTTTTTTAACTATCGGCACTTGTATTCATATGCCTATATTCAAACATAGTACAAAATTATATTTGATGTGGCACAAAATTACATGGCCTTTTCCCCATGTACATATATGTAGCAGAGGTTTACTGACGACTGTCTTGGCTCTGAGGATAGGGGAGATCTTTCAGATGGCCTAACTCGTCCCACTTAAACTCTGATGCCCAGGGCTTTCTTTATGATTCCACCACCACAACAATGAGACGCCACTGCATACCTGTTAGAATGGTCCAAATCCGGAAGATTGAAAACACCAAAAGCTGGCAAAGATGTAGAGCAACAGAAACTCGTATTGACAGCTGGTGGCCTGTGAAATGGCACAGCCACTTCGGAAGACGGTTTAGTGCTTTCTTACAAAACTAAACACACTCTTGCCATACAATCCAGCAATCATGCTGCTTGGTATTTACCCAGAGGAGCTGAAAATTTACATCCACATAAAAACCTGCACGTAACGTTTATAGCAGCTTTATTCATAATTGCCAAAACTTGGGAACAATCAAGAAAGCCTTAAGGAGGTGAAGGGATAAATAAACTGTGGTACATCCAGATGATGGACTATTATTCAGCACCAAAAAGAAATGAGTTATCAAGCCATGAAAGGACATGAAGGAACCTTAAATGCATATTACTAATTGAAAGAAACCAATCTGTAAAGGCTACATACGGTATGATTCTAACTATATGACATTCTGGAAAAGGTAAAACTATGGAGACAGTAAAAAGATTAGTTGCTGCCAAGGGTAGGGGACAGAGCACAAAGGATTTTCAGGACAGTGAAACTATTCTATATGATACTATAGTGATGGATACACGTTATTATGCATTTGTCCAAACCTGTAGAATATATAAGACCAAGAGTAAACCCTAATACAAACTATGGACTCTCGTTGATAATGATGTGTCAGTGTAGGTTCATCAATTGTGACAAATGTCCCACGCTGGTGGGGGGGTGTGGATAATGGGAAAGCTATGCACGTGGCAGGGTAGGGAGTATATGGGAAATCTCTGCACTTTCTTCTTAGTTTTGCTGTGACCCTAAAACTGCTCTAACAAAATAAAGTGTTCTAAATAAAACTCAAAAAAGAAACCCCCAACCACACCCTCTGGGTGCCCAATGAGCACACCGTTGGCCTCAGACGTATACAAGTGTCCCAAGTTATTGAAATGGGGGTAGGCCCCCTGAGGTAGGTTGGAGGAGGACAGTGATCAGTCTTGGGGCCAGTCAACCCACAGCATGCTGGCTGGGTCAAAGGGACTTGTCCGACGGGGAGGGCAGCTGCTGTGTTCCCCAGGACAGGCTGTATGTTACACTAAACTGAGCAGCGGCTGGGTGCTCTGCTGATACAAAAGAGGCCTTCTTTCACCTCGCAAGTGTAAACCATGGACAAGTTCTTCTTGAGAGGATGCTTTCACAGAGGCTGAAGAGCCTTTGGATGCTGGCTCTGCTCTGCCCCACATGCTCCTTCCATTCAGAGCCCGCCTCACAAGCCCACCCACTTCTCTCCTTCTACCTCCTTGCCATCCTTTCCTTTCCCGAAGTCCAGAGCTGTCTTTTATTCCTCGCTTATTAGGCTTTCCCCAGATCCACGCTCAGTTTGTGCTCACGCATCTTCCCCTCACTGTGCATTGGGCTTTGGAAATGCAGGAGCCAACCCAGGACTCCTCCTTTCTCTCCCCATTGTGGTTGGATCAGCCTTCCTTGAGCAGTGATCACACAATGCCTAGACGACCGAATGGGAGAAGGGACAGAGGGGAGAAGGAAATGCCCCATGTGGCCTCAAACACATCATCCTTTCAACTTTCCAAATGTCGTGAGCTCCATGTTCTACAAAATTCCCCCTGACTTCTAGAGAGAATGGCTACTGAACATGCTTCAAGTGTCAGGAAGAGAGTCTCAACACAGTGTTTCTTTCGTTAGAAAATGGAAAACATAACTGGGACCCAGAGGTTGGGGGTGGCTGGGATAGTACTGAGGGGACCCAGAGTTGGAGGGGCAGGGGGACAAGGAGCTATAACAGGTGGCTCTACACCACCACCCCCAACACACACACAGGTAGAGACACTGACACAGACACACCTGTGCTCCATCTCAAAATATAACGATTTTCTATACATGATTGCACGCAGGCTGCAATGATTGTTTTTAAGCAAGAGAAAAGACCAAAGGCCCTATGTCACAGTGAGAAATTCTTGTAGATTCAGGATTAAAAATCCTGGAACCAAGACTCACTTATCCCTTAAGAACTGTGTGACCTCAGGAAAACCCTTTTATTTCTGAACCTCAGTTTTCTCATCTGTTAAACGGAGATAATAATCTCTCTTTCCTGCTGGTCTCACGAGATCAGGAATTTTACAAGAGATCATGAATAGATAAACGTTTTATGAACTGTAACATATTATCCCCTCCCCGAGTTTCAGGTTGGGAGGAACTATTAAAATAATTACCAAATTTGGGGAAGGAAAAAAGGGGAAGGGAGGAAGGGAGCAGATCCAAGCTGTGTGCGTAGAAAGGATTCACTGTTGCTCATGTCCCCCACCCTTATCTCCAGAGGGGGCCTCATCTCCCAGCCACCATCCATACCTACAGGAATTTAGCTCTGCGTTAAGGGGGTGGGGAAAGGATGGTGTCCCCATCAAAGCCCACCCAGAGTCCACTTTCCAGAAGGCAATATAAAAATAAGTTTAAATCGGTTCCCTGGGTGTTTGTGGCCCTGTCATGTTCCTAGCTAGTAGAATTTAGACTGAGCTATGGATTCGGCAGTGCCTCAGTTTTCCATGCATGCCATAGAGCGGCGTTTTCCAATTGTGAGTCACAGACTGCCAACATCAGAATTATCACTAAGGTTGTGAAAATGCGGAGTCCTAGGCTCTACCTCATATTGTGGAGTCAGACTGTGGGGTTCGTGGCCCAGAAATCAGCATTTTAAGAGATTATGCATACTAAAATGGAGAGAGGCTGGGGATAATAATACTGATAATCACAATCACAAGAGTTTAAATGAATTAAACTTCCCTTCACATGTCAGAACTAGCCTAAGTGCCTCGCATGCATTCATGCATTACTGCCCACAATTATGAAGTAAGTACTACGATTATCTCCAGTTTACAGATGATAAAATAGAGCTCATGGAAGCAAGTGACTTCCCAAATGTCACGCAGGGACTAAGTACCAAAGATGATGTTTCCACCCAGATCCTGGGCTCTCCAGTGTACATACACCGGATCACACCTACAGGCAACAGACAAGAGAGATGAATGTACCGCGTCACTTCCACGGGCAGGATAGACCTCCCAGGTTACGGTGGCATGAAATCAGCAGCTCCTGGAGTGAAGATACCCTCTTGATGCTACAGTCCCCAGAGCCAGACAGCCCCTCTCTCTTATTCCATTATGTTTTGCTGCTTGAGATGCATTTGTGATGTTTAATTTATATCCCCGATCATACAGTGATTGCATCACTAAAAAGGCTGTGATGTTGATTTATACGATAGTTGCCCATGTCTGTTAATTAGAGAAATATCATTTGGCTTCCTCTGGAAGAAAAACAATAAATTATAGAGGAGGGGAGAGGGGCAGTCATCCCAGGAACCCATGCCGCTCACTCCTCTTGAATCTGATTTATGATCCTGACCGATTTTATTCCGTTTATACCAACAACATTTGGAAAAAACTGTAACTTGGGTTGAGGAGGAAGAAACAGCTGAAAAGAAAAGGTGGGAAAATAAATGTAGAAGTCTTCTCTATATGTATATTGGCACCCACGAACATTCGTACAGAAAACTGTGATGCAGAAGTATAGGTCAGCTCACGCTGAGTGTTCTTCCCTAGACCACGCCCCCAACTGACCCCAACGTGAACATCACTGTCTCCAAGGTAGGACTCTCTCTAGTGAAACTGACAAATCAGCAACTTGCAAGAGGAACGGACTTGCCTCTTAGCAAGGATGACCCACTATGTTCTAACGCAGTGGACTGTGTGCCTGGACCGGGACGGCCTTTTTCTCCAGCAACTGTTATTGATGTTGTTTACGCCTGAAGGGCAGTACAAAGAAAGAGATCTTTATTCACTCATTCAATCGTTCACTCATTCAACAAACGTTAACAAGTACATACTATCCTGCAGACCCTGTGTCAAGGCTGGGTATAACCGTGGTCAGAAGAAGTGGTCACAGTTCCTGACCTCATAGGACTTGCTCTCCAACATGGCAGACAACAAGAATCAGGTGTCAGAGAGATCGATATCAGATTGCAACCACACCACATGCTATAAAAGGATCATGAGAGTCTTCCTTAAGGAAGTAAGTTTGAGTTAAATATTAAGGATGAGTTACTGTGGTTAAAATGGATGGAAAAGCATTCTGTAAGAAAGGAACAGCGTGTGCAAAAGCTGGAAGGGAATAGGGGGAATCCAAAGGATTGAAGGTGTCCAGTGTAACCGCAGTGGACATGAGGGGGTGGTAACGGCAGGTGGGGCTGGAAAGGCTGGAGCCAGACCACACAAGGTCCTCAAGCCGCGGACAGAAGTGGCTTCTACCTCAGAGCAGCGAGAAGCCACTGTAAGGTTTTCAGCTAGAGGAGGCGGGTGGTAGGATCAGATTTACATTTTGAAAGGTCATTGTTTTATACCTTGAAGAACTTTGAGTTTCCAGAGATTAAAGGGGCTGCAAAATTAGGTGTAAGAAAGCAGTCCCCAGGTGGGGTGAAATGTTCCAAGACGTTACGGCACGAGGCTACCCCAGAGCCGCCACTCTGTTAATGGGGAGGGGCCATCTTCTCAGCCACCCACCTGGATCCTCTATTTGTCCCAGCAATATTCATGCTTGGAAGCTTTGCCTTGGAACTGGTGGAAGGTGAAAGTAGAAAAGGGAGGAAGATAGACCCATTGGGGGGATGACAGCATCTGCTCCCTGCCCAGCCCCTGGCCCTGGATCAGAGCCCACATCACGAGAGGGGTGAGAGCTCAAAGGTGACAGAGTAGAGGCTGGCACCACTGGTTCTTGCGGACCCTTTCCTCACAAAAGCCTTCTGTGACCCTCCAGTTAAGGTGGCCCCAGCGGGTCCCCCTGCTGCCATCGTGAACGATTGAATGTGTTCGTTAATGTCTTTGGTACTAGTGTCTCTCACTAGAAAGAGGGCAGAAGTCTTTCCTTCGTTCTTCTCTTTATCTCTATAACATAGCGTGGTCCCTGTCACATAGTAGGTGCTCTAAAGCATTTGTGCAATGAATGAATGGAGGATAAGTGAGTTATGACTTCAGCAGCATCAAGGGACATTAGCTTTCCAGGAACATGCTAAAACAGGTAAAAAGAAAAATGTGAAGAAGTTAGGGTAAGGAAGATAAACCGTGAGGGGTGTTTTTATTCTAGAGCGGCCCAGAAGCCCTTTCTGAGTATGTTTGAGACGAGACCTGAAGGAAGTAAGGAAAGGAGCCACAAACGTCTGAGGAAAGAGCATCCCAGGCAGAAGAAAGGGCAAGGAAGAAAATGACCAAGAATTGCGGGAATTCAGGAGTGAGTCTTCGCTGACTCCCACTTTTCCTTGCCTGAGGATTTGGGAGGACGGGATTGTCACTCCCTGAGGTTGAGACCCTGGGCACACACAGGAGTGGAGCCTCCCTGGGCATCATCAGCAGAAGCCACTCCAGGACACCTGCAAGCAGCCTGACAGGTAAGGTTTCTGGAAAGTGGAGCCAGAGAGAGAAAAAATGGCAGATGTCCAGTGGGACTGCTGCTGTCAGACCGGGTGTTATCAGAGGACATGGGAGGTAGTCCTCATGGGAGCATCGGGGGTGGCCCCAGAAAATGTGTAAGGAGGAGGTTAGGGTAGAGCCGTGGTAGTCGAGAAACAAATTCTTTTTGTACCCACTTACTACGAAGTTCTGGTGCTACGGAGGATGGGGGGTTAAGGAGAAGAGACTGGGCTGATGATGACTTCTGAGACATGGAGGTGGTACCCACTCGACCCGAATCCTTCTTGAGAAGTTCTGACACAGGGTGGTAGGCATGAAAAACAACACAGTGAATGAAGACACGTCAGTCCACTTGGCAAGCCCTCCAAGACACAGATGGAAGTTTCCGTGATCCTCCTCATCCCAAACTGACACACCGTTAAAGCCTCAGATCATATCTCCCACTTACGCCCCCTTCCCTGCCCACTGCGAGCACACTGGGCACCTTTCAATCCTTTGAATTCACCTTGCTTCCTCTCAGCTTTTGCACATGCTGTTCCTTCTTTCTGGTGTGCTTTTCCCTCTGTCTTAACCAAACTGTTGCTGTTGTTAGTGCTGTTGAGTGGATTCTGACTCCTAGTGCCCCTGTGGACAGCGGAGCGGAGCCCTGCCTGGTCTTTTGCGCCATCCTCTCACCTTCTGGCACTGTATCAGACAGCGCTCTGCTGCTGCTCACAGGGTTTTCATAGCCAAGTTTTTCGGGAGTGGGTAGCCAGGTCCTTCGTCCTCTTCTGTCTTAGTCTGGAAGCTCCGCTGAAACCTGTCCCCCACGGGTGACCCTGCTGGCGTTTGAAATTCCAATGGCTTAACTTCAGTATCCCAGCAACTCTCAGCCGCCACAGTGTGACAACCAAAACACAAGTGGTGTGGATCCCTAACGGGGAAATGAGCGGGGAGGTGAGAGTGCTGAATTGTAACCACTAGACCCCCAGGGCTGGGATTGTACCGTATCTTCCAAAGTTTCCATTTCGATCAATTTTAAAAACAATATAATGCAATTTTGTAAAATGCCCTGATACAAAAACGCTATACAAAGTCAAAGAAAAAACTCCCATCTTCAGTATAGAATAGAATCTAGTATTTCAGATGTTTCAGCAGTGATTATGCAAGTATTAATCACCTCCTGTGTGCAAAACCCCAGGCACTGAAGCAGAGGAGGAAAGGGTTCTCACGTGGCTGTGACTCAACCCAGACGTGGCGGGCTGTAGGATGGGGGACACTCAGATCTGCAGCCCAGCGCCATCCCGGGTTCACGGAGAAGGCTTCTGTCCCATGCCCAGGACTGTGTTTTGTTCTACTTAAGGCCCTGCTTCTGACCCCAGCAAGGGGAATGAGGGGCCTCAGACAGGGCCCTGGAAACGTGTGTGCACGCATACGTATAAGCAGCAACAGACCCCCGAAACCCTCAGCTTTCCTTTTAAAGGCACTATGCCTTTTGGTCTCATTTCATCACAGCAAGGTGGCCGCGGAAAGTAAGAAAGAGGCAACTTTGTAACGTATCTGGGAGATGATATCTCTCTCTGCTCTTTGAACAAGTTTTTATGTTTTTGAACACAGTAATCATTCTGCCAGAGAGAGGGCCCATTTTAAAAATCATTTGTTATTGGTTGAATTGTATTCCTCAAAAACCCATACGTTGAAGTCCTAATGCCCAATACCTCAGAACATGACTGTATTTGGAGACAGGGCCTTTAAAGATGAGATTAAGTTAAAAGGGGCGTGTTAGGGGGGCCCTACTCCAATAGGACTGGTAGACTTTTAGGAAGAGGAGATGAGGACACAGACGCAACAGAGGGAAGATGAGGTGAAGACGCAGGGAGAACACGGCATCTACAAGCCAAGGAGAGAGGCCTCAGAAGAAACCAACCCCTTGATCTCAGACTTCCAGCCTCCAGACTAGTGATAAAATGAATTTCCGTCACTTAAGCTACCACGTCTGTGGTACTTTATTAAGGCAGTTCTAGCAAATTATTGCAGCCATGTTCCATCCCTGTGTGGCCATCATAACCCAAGTTCCTCATCTGAGACCAAAACTTTGAAACTCATTTCTCTGCCACGCTCATCCCCAAGACACCTGAGGGTGAAGCAATCTCAGAAATTTTGTCTGCTGATTTTACGCAATATTGTGAAAGTGTTAGCATCCTCTGAATTCTTTTCAGGGGCTGAAGCCTGCCCCACCTCTAAGGATTCCTTCTTCCAGAAACACCCTCGACCCCATTCCTCTACTTCCTCCATCTCCTTTGAACACACATGAATCATGCCCTGCTGTGGTTCTCGACCAGAGACGCACATAAAAATTATCTCATTAAATTATACTCATCAGACATTCCTACGCTGGTTCTCCCTCCAGTCTCCTGAATTAGAATCTCAGCAACCCTAGATGGGGAGAGACACATACAGAAGAAAGACCTGATCTAACCGGAGAGTCCACAGATAAGCAAGCAGCCCCCGTAACACACAACTAGCGCTTCAAAAGGCACAGTTTTATATTGTTCACTCTTCCGTTCTGGAAATTCATTGTGAATTTCTCAAGTCTGAAGCCACAGGAGAACCTTTACTTCTCTGCCTCTGTGCCGGGTGCTTCGGCAGGTGGTTAATACTTCTTGAACAATCGCTGATGAAACACTTAAAGTACAACGTCCTATTACGTAAAAGCTGGAAGATTTTTCTCTGACTTTTTATAGAGCTTTTTATATCAGGTCATTTTACAAATTTGCATGATGTTGTTTTTTTTAATTTGAACAAAAAGGAAACCTTGGAATTTATGGCAGATTGTTCCATGGGTGGTTTCCCATGAACCCCCCTCCTGGGATTCACACCTTTGTGCACTCCCTTCCCAGGATAGCTCTGGCTTGGTCACGTGACCAGCTCTGGCTCGGTAAGTAACAAGTGTGATGTGAGCAGAGGCCTGGTAAACTCAGAGATCAGCACAATAGAAATACAATGTAACCACTGATATAATTTCCAATTATCTAGCAGCCACATTAAAAAGAGTACAAGGAACAAAGTTAATTTTAATAGTATGTCTTTTTAAGCCCAATATACCTAAAACGTTATCATTCAAAATGTGATCAATATTAAAAAAGATATTTTACCTTTTATTTTTTAGACAGTTTTCAAATTCTGCTGTATATCTTGCACTTAAAGCATGTCTGGATCCAGACTTAAACATTTCCAGTGCTCTATAGCCACATGTGGCTAGTAGCTCCTGTGTTGGGCAGTCCAGGCTTGGACGTGGGACTTGTCTTCTCTGAACACTTGCTCGCGGGATGCTCCTCTGGGAACCTGTCCATCACGATGGGAGAAGCCCAGCCGGAAAGAGGGCCTGTGGGGCAGCAACACGACCCAGCTGAGCTCCAAGCTGGAAGCCAGCATTCCAACTTGCTGTCCATAGGAGCAAGCCCTCCCAGAAGTGCATCCAGCCACATAGGAGCCAACCCAGCTGAGGCCACAGGGAACAAAGATGAGCTCTACCTCTCGAGCACTGCCCAAATTGCAGAATCTGGAACAGGTGCATAGCTGTTGCTGTTCTAAGCTATCAACATGGTGATTTGTTAAGTAACAAAAGATAACCAAAACAAGTGATCAAGGATACCAGCTGATGGAGCATTAATGATTTTTGTCTCTCCCTCAGGCATTCATTCATTTTCATTTTGTCTCTCCTGTACGCTCACTTGGAGTCACTGGAAGATGTAAAAGTAGGAGTAAAAGTCTTGGTCACCATCTGCAAGGAATTTACAGGCTAGCTCAGAAGTTACTGCTCTGTGTGAGGAGCATTAGCTCAGGAGCATGCAGATGCTGGGTTTTTATCATGGCTTTGCCACCACATCTGTCTGCTCAGGCTATGACAAAATGTCACAGACTGGGTAGCTTAAACAACAAAAAGTTTATTTTCTCACAGTTCTGGAGGTAGAAGTCCAGGATCAAGGTGCCAGCATATTTGGTTTCTGGTGGGAGCTCTCTTCCCAGCTTGCAGACAGGAACCTTCTGCCTGTGTCCTCTCACGGCCTTTCCTCTGTGCGCACATGGTGGGAGAGAGCTCTCTGGTGTCTCTTCCTCCTCCTGTAAGGACACCAGCGTAATTATATGACAGCAGTAATATAATTGCCTCCTTAAAGGCCCCATCTCCAAGTCTAGTTACACAGGGGTTAGGGCTGCAACAAATGAATTCAGGCTGGGTTAGAGGCAGCACGTACAATTTAGTCCATAACAGCCACTAAACTTCCGGGTAATCTTGGCCAATTTAGTTCACCTCTCTGAGCAGTTTTACTGCTATATCCTTTCACGTAAGTATGATATGAGCATGAAAGGAGACTATAGACGTGAAAGAGAAGGTGGAAAAAGAAAAATATTCAAAAATAATAGAGGATATCCTGGACTTTTGTGAATCTTCGTATATTCTAGGCATCAATAAGTGATGCTAAATAAATAAATGACTGAATGAACAAATAAAAAACCAAAACTAAGGAATAGGGGAGAAAATTGATCATGACACATGCAAAAACAAAAGAAGAAAATTTTGCCTAGACCCAATGATTCCTGCTGGGTAGATGATGGAGTCGATTAAAACAATGATGGGGAGAAGGCTGAAGGGGAAGATGAGGCTGGCTGGTCTCCTGTGAGCACCTACCATGTTTCAGAGAACATGCAAAATGGTGAATACAGGTTAGTGTCCATTCTTTTGTATTATTAATGAAGCAACAGAGCAACCCTCTGACGTGGGCACAGTTAGCTTAGGTCTCTTGAGAGAGGGATCGAAACCCAACTAAGCGAGTTCAAGTCAGTCAGAAGAGAAACCACAGGTAGAAAAGAACAGAGGTGAGACCACCTTTCAAGGAGGTTCCATTTGCATCTGAGTGAAGAAACTGGGGCAAAAGGAAGGCTGGAGACAGGAAGCAGGGTAAGAGATTCTTGCACAATGTCTTTAGGAGGAGGAGAAAGAAGAGGGACAAGAAGGAGGAGGAAGGGGAAAAGGGGAAAAGAGATTGAAGGGAAGGAGAAATAATAAAATTCGTAGTAGTGGGCCTGGCTCCAGTAGCTGTGGCAGCAGCAGCAGCAGCAGTGCTGGTTTAATGGGTGTGGGAACCGTGCAGTTGCGCAGGGCCCGCACTTAGAAGGGGCCTCTGCTCAGAAGGGCTCTGTGCTTAGTTAATGCTCTGCTCTCACCATCTTGAAATTCTTAATTGTTTTTATTTTTAATGAAGTTTTTTTTTTTTTTGCAGGGGAAGATTTGCCCTATGCGAACATCTATGCCAATCTTCCTCCTTTTTTTCCCCACCCCCAAGCCCCAGTAGATAGTTGTGTAGAGCTGTAAGTTCTTCTGGTTCTTCTATGTGAGCTGCTGCCAAAGCATGACTACTGGCAGACCAGTGGTGTGGTTCTGAACCTGGGAACCAAACCTGGGCTGCTGAAGTGGAGCATGCCAAACTTTAACTGCTAGGCCATCAGGGCTGCCTCTTGAAACTCAGTTTTTTTTTTGAGGAAGATTAGCCATGAGCTAACATCTTCCCCCAATCCTCCTCTTTTTGCTGAGGAAGACTGGCCCTGAGCTAACGTCTGTGCCCATCTTCCTCTACTTTATATGTGGGATGCCTACCACAGCATGGCTTGACAAGCGGTGCCATGTGCACACCGAGGATCCGAACTGGCAAACTCCAGGCCACCGAAGCGGAACGTGAGAACTTTGCTATGCCACTGGGCTGGCTGGTCCCTGAAACTCTTAACTTTTGATCAAGGAGCCCCACATTTTAATTTTGCACTGGGCCCCACAAATTATTACTACAGTCCTAGTGCTGTAGTATGGAAGCTCTCATGCCCTGTGCACACGTGACCTCATTTCCATGGGACTACAGATGAGCACAAGGGCCATGAGCAGACAGGAAAGACTCAGAAGGGATGGGGAGCAAGTCATCCTCCAGTGGCCAAGAGGCTATGGGACAAAGCAGAGGAATGACCAGTATAGCCTGTGAACACAACGCCCATGGTGTCCCTCTCTTCCCCAGGGAGGTGCCCAGAAGTCACAAAGAGAAAGTCATGCTCTTGTCTACAGTGGTCAGGTTAGAGGAGGCATCTTTAGCAGCAGACAGCTGCTGTCCCAATGGCATGTCACAGGCAGACAGAGTTCTATAGTTCCTTGACTCTGCACTTGCTGTTAAACTTATTTAATGTACAGAAAATCCTTGACATCATTCATTCATCCATTCATTCATTCATCCAACATTTTATGAACTCTCAGGGAATGGCGGGTGCCATGCTGATTTTAAGAAAGAAGCAAAAATAAATAAACTCATCCCTTCCTTCAGGAAGCTCTCAATTATTGACCTCAAAATTATAAGATATGTCCAAAATATAATGCAAGAAAGTGTTAAGTGCTGGGATCTTGGAGTTTACCTAAAGGCCAAGAGGCCCTCTGAATTGGCCTGAGTGGCAAGTGAATGGTGGAGAATTGGAGGTTGACATCTAATTCATGAAGGCTTGACTTCTCTTCATTTATCCTACAAGCATCTCTGCTTTTGAGGGATCTGCAAAAATAGCCTTCCCTCCTAGGCTGTCCCTCTCCATAGGTTGTCCCTGCCACCTGCAAATGTTGAATTGCGGCAACTCTTCCCCAAACCTCTAGACGCCCTGAGCTGGAACTCTCAGCTGAGCAAACACAGCCACAGACCCTCTGGTTGAGTGGATGTGGGGAGAGGACACGGTGTGAAATGAGAATGAAGTGTAAACTCCCCCACGGTTGGCCGCAATCCCGTAACACAAAACGCAAGCGCAACCAGACCGCGTGGGAGCTCTCCACCTCACCAGTCTAGAACCAACTGAACCAGGAACAAGTTAAGCCCCTTGCTGAAAAGAAAAACTACAAAACAAAACATTGCATCTTAAAGCAGCATTCCTAGAAGCTGCGGTCAGAGACCTCATGAAAGTGCCGGCCACTCCGCTCTCTGCCTCCCTGCTCCCTAAGCTTTCATAAACACTTCCCATTTCATAAAAGTTGCAGTTTTACACATGATTTCTAAGCTGCCAAAAATGTACAGTGTGCACGGCCCCGCCTGTTCCAACATGTTTTATAAACATAACAAGCTGTAGCAGCCGCCCCAGATGTTTTCACAACCTATTTTTTTTCATAATTTAAAATCTGTTCGACCTGATGTTTTTTGCTCCGTGTGCATTTCAACTGTAAAAAAGGAAACTGAAATATTATTCATGTGGTGCTATGCTGTTACACCTAATTTCTTCTCAAGTTCACACTAAACTGAAATGTCTCTAGGAACCTTAAAAAAGGCAGCAGCCGAGGAAGTGAGGAAATATGTCAAGGACTTGTAAATAAACAGCTGGCTCCCAACATATGGATTTTCTTCTATATTTTTCAGGTGCCACAATCTCCCATCCGTATCTGCCAGCCCTGCAGCACACAGCATAATTCAACTATAATTGATAATGTAAGGGCAGATGGAGAGGACTGTCAACTCCTCCCCTGGATCTCTGGGGACGCTGCAGAAATCAAAGCAGATGGCCCAATTGCATCTTCTTTATGTGTTGCGGCAAGCTCCTCTGTCTGCAGGATAATGGATCATTACGGCCTGCTGTGTACAAACACCAATACGCTTTTAAATCTGGTTCTCGAGCTTATGAAAAAGCACTATATTTCATATTAATTTGTGAAGCTGCACTTAACAAGGTCCACTGTTGTTAATTTACGAGTTGGAAGCAGGCAGAGGGAGAAATTCACATGGAGAGCTCTCCCCTGCCTCCTCCCCTCCCCCATTTTGCCTCTGTCTTAGCCCTCCCCCCAGGCCTGCCTCCCATCAGGCCAGCGGTGGTCAGCACAAGGGAACACGATATCCAGATCTGCCGCTCTGATACAGAATTGACGAATTGGATTCCACCAGTTGGAGGTTTGCAGAAAACTCCATTGTAGAAGAGATTGGTTTGCTCCCCCATCAATGGCGTGGATGATGAGAAGGAGAAAAGTCTCGGAACTTTCCTTTCCACACTACCTCTTGCCGCCAATGACGAAAAAGAAGACAAGGGGAATAGGGCACCCATAGTCCCCCTGCCTGATCACAGTGTTCTTGGGGAAGGGTCCATGGCAAGACTACAAAATCGGGAAGGTTTTCAATGGTACACAAGCATCCACTTTGAAGACATTTTTATCTTTGTTGTTTCTTAATTGGCAAATATTTTTGACCCCCTACCGTGAGTCAGAAAATATCGTGGGTCCAGAGGAGACCAAGGGAAATACAAAGGACCCATACCTCTAGCAGCTTGTGGCTGTGGATTCCTCAAGTGAAAACTTGTGCAGAACATGATCAAGGTGTTTAGCTGGCCCCAGAATACGATAGGGACACGAAAGTGGAACAAATAAATCCTGCTCGGGGACCTAGAAGTTGTGGCCTAAGGAGAAAGTAGGACTTGGCCAGGTGACAGAATGTGCTGGAGAGGTTGGGGCCTTGTAGGTTTCCATACGTGGGATGCAGAACATTTGAGCATCCTTGAACCGGAACGGGGAAGAACTACATTTCTCCCTTCTGGCCCTGGGCCTACCTTGTTCTCTGTCCCATTCCAAAATCTTAAAGCCAGCTGCACGTGTGTGCCTTTTCCTGAGATGCTGGTGACAAATGGCTTAAAGAAGGGGTTGGGACTCAAATGCCTACAGGGATCTAGCAGGTAACAGAAAGGTGTGCAGCTGGCCAGCTGTGTGGCACAGAGGATGTACAGAAGGCTCGGGAGTGCAGATACATCCTGTGTAGACCAAAGAAATGCTCTGCTGGCCAGGGAGAGTGGAGGTCTCCAGCTTCAAAGCTAGTTTTTAAAACTAGTACTTCACATTCATTGCCCCGTTTGTTTCTCAAGCAGCACCCTAGAGTTCCTCAAAGACCACAAAACAGTGAATTTCTATAGAAGAGCTGTGGATGTGGCTTGCACAGGTCTCTGTGAATCTGTCCCGATCAGGGAAACCGTGAGTGAGGAAAGCAACGGCCACAAGGCCGCTCCCTGACCTTAGGCCATACCAGTTCCATCCTCACCTGGATGCCAAAAAACAGCCTAGGCTCACGTTTTGTTTCGATCTCACAAGGTAAAACAATAATTTTAATAACAGTAACAATTGACAAAATTTGAAAATTGAGAGATGTTAGAGCCAGCCCCAATTGCCTAGTGGTTAAAGTTTGGCACTTGCTACTTCGGCAGCCCGGGTTTGGTTTCTGGGTGCAAAACCACACCACCCGTCTGTCAGTTGCCATGCTGTGGTGGTGGCTCACGCAGAAGAACTAGAAGGATTTACAACCAGGATATGCAACCATGCACTGGGGCTTTGGGGAGGAAAAAAAAGTGGGAGAAGATTGGCAACAGATATTAGCTCAGGGCGAATCTTTCCATGCAAAAACAAAAAACATGGACCTTTAAAAGAAAAAATTGGGAGACGTTACCTATAGAGCTAGACTCCTAACTTGTAGAAATTTGGAAGATCTGACAACCTCAGGCTGCATCATCATCTGGAAGTCATCACCAGAGACCAAGTACCACCAACACCACTGCAGCATGGCCTCCATGGACACAGTCCAAAACCATCAGTTCGGTCAGCTCAGAACAAATGATTCTCACCCATACCTTTCCAGGTGGAAGTAGAAATCTCTGAAAAACAAGGCAGCTTTAGAAGGCAAAGACTTTTTCATAGGCCTTCAGATGGTAAATAATACAAATACCATTACTCTCACAGACAAGTAAACAAAAAATAAAACGAAGCCACATATGGCAGCCCTGGAGTGAATTTTTTCTTACTAACATGAATTAATTACATAGTAATCATGAGTGAGACACGATGCTCATGTTCATTACCTCATTTGCTAAGTTTTTTTGGGGAAAGAATAAAATAGTTCATGGTTTGTCACTAAACCAGCTTGAGCCA